CTCTCTTCCGCTGTCACTCAAATTCCTAAATTGAGAGTATTCTGGAAGCAAATGAAAGGGTTCATAAGCTGAGAAGATGTGCTTTACTGATGACATTTTCTCAGTGGTGGTGGTTCTTAAAGGGAAACTGAAGTCCTGGGATCTCTTGGGTTATATTATTGTATCTCAATGAATACTTAAAAAACAAACAAACAAACAAAAAAACTGCACTCATGTATATATTATACAGTAAAATATCCTCGACTCTGAACCTGTCAGACAAAGAAAACTCAAATATTTTCCACTAATGAGCAATTAGAAAGTACTCTGTCCAAGGGGGAAAACTCGCAAGGCATCCTGGTAACTTCCAGCTCTCACAAGCTTCACTCTATGTACGTGTGTGGTGTAAGTGCTACAAGGGTTCCTACATGCAGGGGTTTGTTCCAAGCAAAATGTGTTTAACCTTGTCTTTGTGATCATTGATGGCTGCAAATACATTCTCTCAGTAAGACACTTGTCCTAATCTCATTAGGGAGTCCTGGTGTGGCACTGTATGGTAATGCACTGGACCACAAGGTCAGTTTGAACTGCAAGGTCGTTGGTTCAAATCCACCAGCTGCTCCTCAGAAACCCTCTACAGGGTCACTATGAGTCAGACCTGACTCAAAGGCACAGGACAACGACAATCTCATTAGGGTGCCTCAAAAAAGAGGTCCAATTCCAAGGGCATCTGCTGGGCCAGTTACATTCAAGACATTGACGTTTGCTCAGAGGATTATGGTCACTGATTTTTGGAGATCCGCAAGGTGTCATCTTGATAGGTTTTTTCAAAGGCAACAGGACAATCCCAGGGATTTATCATGCAGAAGTTTCGGAAATTTGAAAACTGCATTAGTGACAAAAAGGCCAGCAATGACCCCACTTGAAGGTCACCACAATGGCCTAAGTCAGCGATGGATGTTGCAAGTTAGAGAAGTGGCTGTGAAAATGGAGAAGAGGGGAGGGTTGCTGATTAACTTAGGAAACAGAATCCGGAATTGGTGAGCACATTGAGAGGGATGAGACTGATGGAGAGAGAGGAGGGATATATAT